ATAAATATCTCTGGAATTTCCATGTGTAGGGGGGACGGATGGAACTGGGTTTGGTTTGGATAAGCCTGGTGAAGGGTTTCTGCATGAGTCAGACACCCAGCTGACCAAAATAAAATCATGTCGTCAAACCAAAACCCTTACCTCCCTCCTCAAGGAGGATAGTCACAAGTTGATCATTTGACCATCCGATAAGCACTATCCACAAAGCTTCCCATTCCTTGCCCTATCAGGACACCCTTAGCCGTTTGGAGTTTGACTTACAGAGTTGACAGGAACCGATTGGGAATAGTCCCGCTGATGAGCCAGGCTGATTGGTCTGTCACCAGAAGTACCCTGGATTACTGCAGACCCATCCGATTCAGGAACCGGACTACCAAAAGTTCCACAGAAGATTGACTTGTGTCCGATACCTGTCACGTCATCTTGGAGCCTCCATAATTCTAACACAGCTCAGAATTCTGTGAGAATATAAAAGGCATAATTTGATTTTTCTACTTCTGTTCAGAGATCTTAAGCGTTGCTCAAACAGATAAGAGACAAAAAGGAGGGAGAACAAAGAATAATGCTCTACCAAAAACACTGTCTGAATCAGGATCCTAATCCTTTTTTAGAGGGAATTAGACAGATATTCTAAAAGGAAAAATGTAAAAGGTTATCTGGAAAAGTCAGGTAAGTGGAGACAAACAGATAGCTCTTTAAAGACCCAGCAAAGGCACGATGGCCAAATGGGCCTCTTCCCTGCTTTAAAATTCGATGGTTCTGTAAGTATTCTGTAACATTTTTCTTAGAAATAAAACTATAGAAATTTACAATGCAGAAGAAGGCCATTTGGCTCATCGTGTCTGTGCTGGCTCATCCTTTCAGTCCCATTATAATAATAATAATAATATTACCTGCCCTTTCCCCATACCCTTGTAGTTTACTCCTTTTTAGGTATTTATCTTGTCCCCTTTTGAAAGCTAATATGGATTCTGCCTCAATCACCACTCCCACCAGGGTGTTACATATCCTAACTGCTCTGCATGAAAAACTTCTCGTAATCACTAACTATCTTAAATTGATGCCCTCTCACCAATCAGTAGAAATAATTTCTCCCCATTGACTCGATCAAAACTCCTCATAATTTTAAGGACCTCTATTCGGCCCCCCATTTTGTTCCAATGGAAGCAGTTGCAGTTTCTCCAGCCTGTTCATAAGCTAATCCACTCATCCCTGGAAATATATATTTTTGACCCTGCTTTTGTCAGCACACCCAATACTCTTTAATCACTGCTTGCTATCATGCCTGTTAAGCTCTTCAAGGAACTCATCTTCTGTGAAAGGCTTGATATAATTGTGAGGTATTTTTGTTGTTAAATGGCAAAGTCAGAACTTGTGTTGTCACAGATCTTTGGGTTAAAAACAGTGACTGGGTTATTTTGTTTGTGCAGAGGTTTTACATGACATACTAGGTACAAGCCACTACCTCCATCAGGCAGGAGAACAGGGACAGAGGCCACTGATACTTGCCATGAGAAAACCAGAACTGGTCTCACCAGTTTTTATCTCCTGCTTCCAATAATATGACAGTTTGCTCCTGTGCAGTGCTCCATCTAGTGATGTTAGTGGGAACTGCAAATTGACCCATGGTGATACCAGAAGGATCTGTCAGTCAAAGATGGGCTTCATGAACATAAGAAACCATGGCCCAAGAAAAGGCCATTCAGCCTAACAAGTCCTCAACGTCTATGATAAACTGACTCCGTTATGAACTTCACCACTCTTTTTTCTCCTCTGGGAAAGTTCAGCACAGAGACTCCCTGATCCCTGAAATCATAGATGCATGGAATTTTTCAGCAGAACAGAAGGCCATCCAGCCCATCGTGCTTTTGCTAGCTCTCTATAGTAGCCATTTGTTGTCAAACTCCAATAATAATCTTACATTTACTCACTCTAGTTACTGACTCACTGTTCAAAGTCAATCAAGCAACTACATTTACAATATCCTTGTAATCTGACATCTGTCGCTCTCAAGCCGGCTTTTCTTCTCTCCACAGATAACATTCCACACTCAATACATCAGAGTCGTGTGAATAATTTGTTCTATGCTGCATATGGTCCAGAACAAAGGTGAAGAAAATAAGTCAGTGTTGATGCTTGTATCAAAATCAGGGCCTCTTCTCCAGCTTCCCCCTGTGTTTGGGCTGTACCTCTCAAGAGTACACGATCACCAGTTAGTCGAAGGTTGAATGCCACCAAGTTAGGAACTGAGTGTGATCCATTGAGGATAACAGTGCCTAAATCCACTGCTAGAAAAAAATAGAATTCAAATTTAAGTCTTTTTCTATGGAGCTCAACACTTCAGTGATCACAGTGCATTTGTGCGTGTGTGCACATGCATGTGCATTTCCATGCATGTATTTTCCTCTTAGTGGTGTTGAACAAAATACTCAAACACAGTCGCCAGCACAAAATGTTTCCAGCAGGAAATCCCCTGTACATTACACCAACTTGCGAGGCTTCAGCTGTGAGATCTCACTGCAACCAAGTCTCACAGTTCAGCGTGACGTACAAGGGTTATTCTCCTGATTAAGACAGTTTATGTTCCGGTGGGAATACAGGAACTTGAGCAGGCCATTCATCCACTAGTCTGTTAGAATCATGGTGGATCTTTTAATCCCATTTCTCTGCCTTTTCTCCATACTCCGTAATAATAATAATCCTTACATTTGGTATAGAACCTTTGATTTCAGGAAGATATCCCAAAGCATGCGGCAGGATATACTGTAAAGTGGAGTGACTGTGGTTTCTCTTTGTGTGGATAAACATGGCAGCCAATTTGCACACAGCAATGCCTACAACCAGCAATGAAGTGAAAGACTAGTTTGTATTTTGGGGGATTGTTGGCCAGAACACCAGGACAAACTTCCTTCTCTTTTTGAATAGTGCCATGGGATCTTTAATGTCCATCTGAACAGGCAGACAGAACCTTGGTTTAACGTCTCAGTCGAAGGACAGGACTCTTATTTTCCAAGTAACTAAATTTCTCTTTTAAACATCCCAATTGATTCTGTTCTACGACCTTCTGGGGCTTCACAGAATAGACTGCAAAGTGAATTGACTGTATATTTTGTGGATGGAACAAGGCGTCCACTTGCACACAGCAGTGTCCCACAAACAATCGTGGATTGAGTGACCCAAATTTTTTTTTAATTTACAATTTTTTGGGGGGGAGATGGATTATTAGCCCCGGAAAAGCGAACGGCCAATCGACTAACAACCGGGTTCCTACTTACTGCTAGGTAATCAGAGGAGTGTGGAGTAAGGAAACTTGCCCAGGTTTTTGGCCTGCCGGAAATCAAACCCAAGTCCTCTCACTTGCGAGGTGAGTGCTCTAACTACTAAGCTACAGGACTCCACACATTAACACATATTAACATGGGTGAAAGGCCAAGACACATATGATGCAGTTTGCCCTCACTGGGATTAAAGAGTAGAGAACATTGTATAAGTCAGCAACATCCAAGTGATGTCAAGCTTAGAACTAAGGAGTGTCCATTCTTGAGGTCCTGGGCAGAAATGAGTTAGAGTAGGAAACAGGAACGATTTTTAATTACCAGACAATGAGGATGCAGGAAGAAACAACAAATTTACATTTATATAGCACCTTTCATGTCGGAAAGACATTCCAAAGTGCTGGAAGATCGAGTGTGCATGCAATGAATATGACCAGTGGGAATATGATTCTTATTCCTAAAATTGACTTTGGTCCAACAATGATCATCCATTGCCCAAGTGTGTACTCGAGGGACATTTTCATCTTTGAAAAGCCACGTTTCTCTCCAAAATGTTAGGCTTTTTGTACAGATAACAGAGCATGAGTGGACAGCCACCCCCATTGCACTAAGGGTTCAGTGAGCGCAATAATAAATTGGTCATTTTCAATCCATGACTGTTTGTGGGACATTGCTGTGCGCAATTTGCTGCCGCGTTTTGCCCACAAATATACAGTCAATTCACTTTACAGTATATTCTGTGAAGTGCTTTGGGACGTCTAGAAGACATGAAAAGCGCTATATCAAATGCAAGGATTATTATTATTATGACAGAGAGAGAGAGAGAGGTGACAAACCTGATGGAAAAACTAGACGAAAAATTTGAAGGAGCAATGGCCATGGCAGTGTTGCTAAAATGCAAGGATGCAATGAAGATTGAAAGTTTTAAAGCAAGAGTGTAAGATTAATATTTTCCAGAATTTAGACTGCTACAAAAGTAGAGATCTATTTTCTACTTTAATAGCATTTACACCAATCTTAAAGAGGAAAATGATTTGCATGAAAACAATGGAGTGTAAATAGGGGTACTAGAGATTGAAATTGAAAGATTACTAATGGGATTACTTTATTAAGAAATCCTATATTATATCCTATATTCTATATTATATCCCCTGTTATATGGTACCAACATCTACATCTACTTCATTTAAGTAGCTATGTAACATACTATGAACATTACCTTGCCACAATACCTTGCCAAGCCTGCTCCAGTGCATCTCTCTGCTATCACAAGCACAAGCACACATGCTCTCACACAAAAACCATCTGACAAATGTTTGTCGACACACAGAGGCAGACGCTATCTCGGTTATTTCCATTCTCATACTATACTTACTCTCCTCTGAAGTAGAAGGAAATCAGAATTCAGTAACCTCTTCAAAGAAATAAGATTAAAAAAGCAACACCCATCATAGATCTAAAAATAAATTGCACATAATTAAAATACGGTTTGGTATACACCAAACAATTTCTGTTGTGTTCTTAAAGTGATAGTTATTTCAGATTTACAATAATAATCCTTGCAATTGATATAGTGACTTATCACGTTGTGAAGGTGTCTCAAACAAAGTGATAAGGTGTTATATTAAATGCAAGGATTTTGACTTTAAGGATTTTAAATGTTGCAACTGTGCATTTGTAGACAAACAATACAAATTTATATTTATATAGTGCTTTTAATGTCAGTAGGATGTTCCAAGGCACTTAAAAATCCTGGGTTGGCACCTGAGCTGGGGGTGGTTGGAAGGAGAAAGATGACCAAAAGCGCAGGCAAAGAGGTAAGTCTTGAGATGGAATAATTAAATAAGAATACAAAAGAGCTAGAAGAAAAACACAGATATTGCAATTTTAAGATGAGAAAACAGAAAACACCTTCCTCTTCAGTGCTTGAAGCATCTCAGGATAGATGCTAGAATGCTTCATGGGAGGATGATATGCCGAGAATCAGACAAGTGAGCAAAAAACACAATTTGACTTTTTGCCACAGGGGTAATGAAGACGGAGATGAATCTTGACAGGCACACACACGACAAGACTTGGGCAGAGCAGAAACTGGTGACTCATAAATCGTAGTGGCACATTCTCTCTAAGGGCCTCAGTGCATCAAACTGCCTGAAACAGTGGTACAAGACTCATGTGACTAGGCGAGGTCGAGCAATCATTGACCCGAAACAATCAAACAGATCATGTACAAATGCCACAGGTAAACGCTACGGTCCACAATAAAATTAACAGAAATCCTGCTGACAGCAGCTTCGTATTACTAAAAAAAGGTGCTACATCTCTCTGCTTGAAGGAGATACTCACATTTTTCTGCAGTTTTCTTCCTTAAACACACACACCCAATGAAAGAAAGAACATGCATTTATAACAGTGCTTATCATGCCTAAGTCTCAAAGAGCTTTACAGTAATCGTAGTGATTGTTTTTGTAAGCAAGCGAGATATAGTAACCATTTTTGTGCTCATGAAGGGCCCACAAACATCCATGAGGTAATTGACCAATTGAACTAGAGGGTTGTTGGTCAGGACACAGGGAAAAACTCCCTCCTCTTCCTGAATGGTGTCTTGGGATCTTCAACATCCATCTGAAAAGGTAGATGGTACCTCAGTGTAATGTCTCATCTGAAGAATGGCATCAAGGATATCGTGGTGCTCCCCCAAATAAATCCCCAAATAGAATTGGTTATTTCCTTCATGGCAGTTTGTGGGACATTGCTGTGTGCAATTGCGCTGCTGCATTTGCCCACAAAACACACATCACTACACTTTACAGTATATCCTGTGAATCTTCGAGAGGCCTCCTGATGTGAAAGGCGCTAAACCAAATGTAAGGATTATTTTTGTTGTTTATTATTTCGCTCTGCTCTCTCCTATAAATTGGCAGCTCTACGTTTCCTGCAGAGTGATCCTGCGAGCAGACCCACCTTTCAGGTTATTCTTTTGATTGTTTTTCAGTGAGAGGCAGCTTCCCCAGTACCAACCTTCACTTACTTTAACCTACCTTTTCAAGTCATTTACCTGCTTTTGCATTTCCTGGGATGATCTCTGGCTCCATGTCCTTGAATTTACCCAGAACATCACGTCCTGCCACCCATGCCTTCACCTTAGGACATTCGATGCCTTCTTCCTGCCCAAAACAGGTTCTGCCTGCTCTCTTGAAGCTTCCTTTACTAACGCCTGATGGGCAATGCTGCTCAAGAGACCTTGAGTCTCCTTTTCACTCAGCCGTATTCATAGCTGGTTGTACTCCAAGGTATTTTCATACGCAATTTGGAACAAATTCAACCAGTCCAACAGCATTGTGTGCTATTGGCACGTGGGAATAGATGCCGGCAGAAATAGTGAATACTCCTACTTGGCAGGTATAGCTTTAATGTTTCTGAATTCAGCCATATTGTCAGTTGTGCCAAATGGTGCCTGCTATTTCTGGACTCCACAATTTTCTCTGAGCACGCAAAATATTTTATCATGTTTAAAAGTCCTTTTCATAAAAATAAATTATATTTATTACTCATTTTTTTATGACCTAACTGTTTCTCCATGATTTCTCTTTCAGATCTCCTCAATCTCCAGTAACATGGTTCCCAACTCCTTAGTCATCTGTTCCAGTGCCTTGGGACGTCCTCCCGACATGAAAGGTGCTATATGAATGTAATTTTATTGTTGTTGTCTTAACAATTTGTGCTCCATATAAACTACTGTTGCTGCAAAGGTTTGGTTTGGTTCTGTTTTGAACCACAAACAGATTTATTTATCCGTCCTGGTGTAACTCTAATTGAAACGACCACCAAGTTGTTAGACTCTTTATTTTTGATGTTTGGTTCACTATTGAAATCTGTCAAAGACTAACATTTTACCAAGCAGCCTGGAATGTTTTTTGGCTGAGATTCTACCCCTCCCCTTCCTCAGTGGATCAAGGCTGGAAAATAAATGTTAGGCAAAAGCAAAACGACTTTGAGCCTGATCTGGGACTTAAAAATTATAAAACAACAATCGCTTACTCTAGATTCAAAACCTGATGGGTACTGGGATCTGTCGTGGAAGCGAACACTTACCTGGAGGGATGTACTGCCACCTGATGGTCAAAAGTGGATGCCGACATTAATTAAAGAACGCTGCAAACATTACCCCATGGTTGTAACACTGCCTCAATTTCCAGGCACCATAAAGTTAACGATTTTAAATAACCAACTATTTTGCATTGCTTTTTTTCAGTGTAAAGATTGATAAATAAATGCAAATCAGGAAATATTTATAGTACTATGTCAGCATGGCCCATTGATTTACATCCAGAACATAGGACTATTAAACAGGTGGGTTTCCAGCAAGTACCCAGATCTGTAATGCAGTTCATAGTATGTTTCATAAATGATTTTCAGTGCCTTTGAAATTACCTTGATCAGCCTTAAAATGGCTAAGAATTCCTTTTGTGCTCATTAAGATGAAGAACGATAATAATAATAATAAGAAGAAGAAGAAGAAGAAGAACAATAATCTTTTGTGCCCAAGGAATGAATCAAGTACTTGTAGGCCAGGGATGGCCCAGATTAATTGGCATTCAGAGTCATTTGTGTTGTGTCCCATCTCAGGTATCTCAGGTATCAGGACAGCTCAGGGCTGAGCTGAGTCCCTACCAATTTGTTTTCAAATAGTGCCTTGAGATCTTTAACATCCACCAGAACAGGCAGACAGGACCTTGGTTTAGTGTCTCATTTAAAAGATGGTACTTCCAACAATGTAGCTCTCTCTCAATGCGAGATCAAATGCATTGTTATCATCAGGGCTCTATTCAGTTTGTTTGCTTGCTTCAAGACATCACTGGGTATCAAGGGCAAGATATGTTGGGCAAGTTTCCTTACTCCACATGCTTCTGTTTCCCTAGCAATAAGTAGGAACCCAGTTGTTAGTCGATTGGCGATTCGCTTTTCCAGGGATAATAATCCCTCAAGAAACAAAAGCAATAATAATTTGGTCACTCAATTGACGACTGTTTGTGGGACACTGCTGTGTGCAATTAGCTGCAGCGTTTCGCCCACAAATATACAATCAATTCACTTTACAGTATATTTTGTGAAGCGCTTTGAGGTGTCTAGAAGACATGAAAAGCAATATATCAAATGCAAGGATTATTATTATTATAAGATATGGATTCTTAATTGGCTGAAGGGAAGGAAGCAGAGGGTTGTTGTTAGGCTAGCTAGCTAAAAATAAGGTAGGTATTGAATGGGGTGCTTCAGGGGTCTGTCCTCCTGTTCCTTATATACATTAATGATCTGATTCACAGAGTCAGTGTAAGATATTTAAATTTGCAAATGACACAAAATTGGGTAGAACAAAGGAATCTGAAGAGGCAGTAAGTGACTTACATAAAGAGCTTGACAGGATATACATGTTGACTGATAACTTGCATCTTAAATTCAAAACTGATAAATGCAAGATATACATATAGGAAGCAAAAAATATAAAACACATGTGTTTGGCCAAACATGCCAAGAGGGAAGCTGAAAAATATTTGGGGGTTTTAGTTGACTCGTTGTTCACCATATCAAAACAGTATGAAGTTGCAGTAAATAAGGCAAACGGAATTCTGGCTATATTACTAAGTCAGTGGAGTTTAGATTCCTAGACGTCATTCTCAGGCTGTACAGTGCTCTGGTCAGACCTTGAATACTGTATATGATTATGATTGCTGCAATGCAAGAGGTCTGCTCAGGCTTGAGAGGCAGTCCAGAGGAGAGCAACAATAATGATCCCTAGTGTTGGAGGAATGAATTTTGAGCAATGATTAAACAAGATAGTGCTCTTCAATCTTGAAAGGAGGCATCTCAGAGGAGGACGTAAAGAGATATATAAAATCTTAAATGACACTGAGAAAATAAACCCAGAACAATACTTTAGGATGCACCAAGACAGTGCAACAAAACAACACAAGTTTATAGTTAAAAAGAGCAATTTCAGGACAGAGACCAGGAAATATTTCCTTACCCAGAAAGTAATTAACAAACAGAACAGAATACCAGGAAGGGCATTTGAGGCGAGGACCTTGGATTAATTTATAAACAGTTTGAAGTTGTGATGAGAAGACAGTTAGGTGGGTATTCTGGAAGGGCTGGTCAAAGGGCCTTCTTCATGCAAACCAATCTTGTGATCTAGTGAATAAGCAAGTCTGGTATCGAGACAACAGTCAAACTCTAAACTCCAGTGAAGGCAATGGGTTACCCATAGGAAAATCCTTTGGTTCATAACGACACCAAAAAAATGTACATCTGTATTTTACGTTCATCATCAAGTTAGGCAGTTTGTCTGTGCTCCACGGTTCTCCTTTGACACTGATAGTAGTCAAAGGCTCATGAGGTTAAACGTGCACCAACATGACCACTTAGTGAAAAGGCTTGTATTAAAGCAGCGGCCAGTCAGTGATTGAGCCTCGCTGGCCTCTAGCATATGTTCTGATTTGTATTTCATTTTCACAAGGTGAATTGCACAGAACAGATGGCTTAACATATCCCTCATACAGATTATAAACTGAAGTCCAGTGGTAGGTTCCTCCAGCCATGAGTGTACCTCAGTGACACAGCCCCCCGAAGCTTTAGAGCTTTGCATTTGAACAGGGTCACTGCTTAACAGAGCAGCTAACTGAAAGTGACCTAATTGGACTGCCTCACAAGCAAATACAAACCCACTGCAGGGACAAATCAGTTTCAGTTTGTAACTGTAAAGTGCAGCATTGGGTTTCTTTCACAAATATTAAAATGAGCTGCGTTAGTGTTCTTTTGAGCAAATGTGGAAAATGACATCAGTTATTCAGGGCAATTATGACATGGTTCGGAAAGTGCAACACTGTTGTGGAAACCTCTGCGCTAAGATATGAGGATGTTATCTTCTGAAATTAAAATTGCAGTTAGTTACACTCTAACTGTTGGGTATGTACAATGGGGTGAAAAGCATAACATGTGATGTTATTATTAGTACATCATAGGAATTTCCCCTTCTCGTGATGATGCTCCTTCCCTTCTTACGTTGTGAAAGTAGTTGGACCAAAGTTGCTTGCAATGGCAATTGAGTCTTCTGTCAAACGGATTGTGGGATTTCAGCACTAAAATAACAGTACAATCATTGAAGGTCTTGATCCAGAAGCTGAATGTACTTAACAATATTCCAAGACCAAATGTAACTTTGAGCAGTAACTTTTAATAAAAAATGTACTGTTTGCACAATGAAGATAATATAAATAAATAATAATATACAATATAAATATAAAATGGAATATCCCATTGATCAATCCAGGGCCAGGGCCTCGTCCATTTAGACAGCTTCTCCCAATCTGTTATCATCTGCAAATCTACCTTGCTCTGAGTGTGCAGATTCTAGTCATTTATGTTTAACAGGAGAGCTGTTCGGAACATAGACTCTGTGACATCTACCTTAATACTTATCTCCTTCTGCCCCATTTTGACTTGACTCCCTGTATCATTATTCTGTTCCCTGTCCCCTAGCCTGTTATTTCCCCTTAATCCACTTCCATGTCTTAACCTCAATGTTTACTGGAATCAGTTTGTAAAGGGGTCTCGTGTGTTACTTTGTCAGGAGCCTTGTGGACGTCTACTTCATACAGTTTCTCACTGTCAGTTTGAGATGTCCCTCGTCAGACAAGATCTAGGGCTTGTGAAATCACATTTACTGTCATTTTGGGAATATTTTCATACAAGTAATCTTCCATTTCTCTTCTGATTATTGATTTCAATAGTTTATACCAGAGAAACAAAACCTAATTATAATGGGAAATCTGAGTAGTTTGGTTCAGAGACGATTAAATCTGGTGATGGGTTTCTGCAGGCAGATAGGTTTGTGTATATTTAGTCTGTTGGAAACCTCCACAGTGTTCAATGACTGCTTTACAATGTCTGCCAGTGCTTCCCCAATCACACCTCACGTATCACTACTCCAAATCCATTTCAGGATTTGAATCCATTTCACATTTTTTTTTAATTTGCCTCGACTGCAATTAGATATTAGATAACCTACAACAATGGTTTTGAAAGATATCCATTTACCTTGGGTGGATTGTTTTTAACCCTTGAGTGGGGAAAAATAGGATTTGTCTTAATTATCACATCACACACAGCATCTTTCACCCTTTTGCTTCTAAGCTCGGCCCTCATCTCCCTGACGTTTGCTCATCTAAGGTTGAATGTTAGGGTTCAGTGAGTGGGTTGTGCTGTTTCCCAAGACAGGTTGAATGCTATTGTGCTATGGTCATTATTACCTAATGGTTTAGCCATTTATACTTCATGGACAGTGTCTGAATCCCTCACAAGAACCAAGTTTAGGACATAGACAGAGTTTACGGTCCATCTCAAGACATGACATACTCTTTGACTGAGCTTTCAGTCATCTTTCCCTTCTCCACTCACCTCAGCTCTGGACCCCAGTTCAAGTACCCAGCCAGCAGTTTGGGACATCTCCTGACATGAGGGACATTGTATAAATGTAAATTCGTATTGTGTTGTACCTTTTGCTGGTACTCAATGAAGCAGTGCAAACAATGGCCAGATTATTTCTCAGCTGTTTCATTGCAGAAAACTTCACCACAAAGGTTTCTCTAGATAAAGCCACATGATATTGGAGTGAAAGCCTGCTTTTGTCACTTCGAACTTGTGTTGTACTTTTCTAATTGGCAATAGGAATCTGCCATACACATTGACAACATACAGCAGGCAGCCACAGTCAGGCAGAAACTAACAGCACTGAATTGCTCTGAGCAATACTTACAGAAACTGTGTGACAGAAACCAAGATTCATTCATTGCCTCCTGACATGAAGCCTTTCAAGGCAAACATCTTTATTTTATAATCATATGTTCAGGCAGTGTAATTTTTCCCACAAGTTTTGATAGTGCCAGAAGAAGTCAAATATAGCAAAGCGCAATTCTATATACAGGATACAGACACTCCAAGGAAGATATCTGAGAAATATAAGTCAATGACTGGAGAATCCTACCTCCCCACCTCCCCATGTTCACTCCCTCATATGATTTCTGCCGTGTGGGCTTTCTGTAACAGAATCAGGTTTACTTTGGTTGTTTTTCCCTGCTTTTGTTTTTCCTGGTGTGAGAACTATATATTACATGTGTTTTTGCTGTGTTTTCAGGTATCTCAAGTGAACAGCAAACCTCCGCCAGTACCAAGTGTTGATAATCCACATCACCACACAGTCATTAGCTAAATGAGACTTACCCACACATAGAAATTTTGCTGTGTCTGGAATGGAAAGCTTTAGCAGACATCTGCCTTCAGCTTGGTGGAAGGACTTATACATGACAGTTTATGATGTGTCACTCAGCTTGATGCTCCAGAGGTCCAAGTCCAATATAAGGTTTATTCGAGGACAGCTGCGTAATCCAGATCCTCACGCTATGGGTTTTGGCAATTAGATGTAACTCTGATGATGGCTAATCTACCTCAGTATCAGGTCAGTGTAGGTCAGAAACCTCTCTCTCTGCAGACACTTGCCATTTTTATCACAATTTTTTTTTACCCCTTCAGATAATCCAAACTGGGAATTGCCTCAGCTGCTCAGTGGGGTCTTTTGGGGGGAATGTCAGCCAGTTGCAGCAGCCCATTTCATGAGGGCTGTGAGCTGCACCCTCTCCCACAAAACAAGTGTAGCTCTGTATTCGGTAGAGTTGTGCTGTATTTTGTGTAACTGTTGCGTGCAGACAGTGCGAAACATTCACCTCCCCCACTTTAACAGCAATATATAACGTATACCTGCCATTGAGGAGGAAGTACGGTCAAATCAGAGTGGTGCCAAATCATCACTTTATCTGAACAGAAAGGGCAGTGGCATTCACATAGAATGGGGTTTGCTAAGGCCTTGATGCCACATTATTTCAAGTATTGGTGTCTCCTTCTCCCAATCCAGGGAATGTTTGTGCTCAATGTCTCATGTGATATCTGGGCTTGTTCAGCCATATATTTTGTCACTTACACTGCAGTTAGCTGGTTAAATTGGCAAGGCACAGAGAGTGTAAAAGCAGCATCTTTAAATAACATGTCATTGAGGTGTAAGTGGTTTTGCCATTAGTACTAAGAATGTGACCCCATGTGGAATGCCCAGACTCTCGAGCCATTATGTAACTCCTGGTCTTGATTCCTTATTTAGACTAATCTCGTTCTCTACGTGACAGCCACCAGTCAATCACATGGCTTACACGGTGTAGTGGAGTGTGATGCTGACACCCTAGGCTCTGTTATGTGTTGGTATTTAACTGATTGCATTAAAAATATTTAAGATTTTAGTTCTATTTCAATTCTTGTCTGGTTGTTTTTAAAGATCAGTTTTAACATGGACATCGGGAGGTTTGAAATACAACCAGGCTTAGACTTTTGTCTTGCAATACATTACAAATTTACATTTATATCACACCCCTCACTTCAGGAAAGTGTCCCAAGGTGCTTAACTTGGTACCCGAACTGGGAGGGGGGAGGGGTCGGGGTCACATGAGCTGGGGGGGGGGGTGTTACCCAAGCTGGGGGGTGGGCATATGAGCTGGGGGGGGGGTCACCTGAGCTGGGGGGTGGACACACGAGCTGGGTGGGGGTGGGGGCACACAAGCTGGGGGGACTCACGAGCTGGGGTGGGGTGTACACAAGCTGGGGGTTTTAAATGTTATGCTTGAGCATAATATGGATTCACTATTGATTCGGGAGCTGTTTTTCTGTCATTCACAAAAAGATTTGTGGGAAACAGGCTTCAAACTTATAATTGGATTTAGGAATATTTTGCACACTTAAGGCATTAACCGTAAGCCTAAAACAAGAAGGTATTTTGGGCCTTTGGCTGCTGAATGTCTGTAATTGTCACATTTCGTAAGTTGTGCTACTTCTGATATTGTTACTCTTATTACCATTCGTCTTTGATAAAACGGAGCGGTTTGACTGTACTATTCTTACTTCTCATTACACACCACTGCAGATTAATGAAGACTTTGTGTTACATGCTCAGATCAGACAAAAAAAACAAGATATTTAACAGATAGGATTGTTTTGTTGCTGCTGGTTATGAAATTGCCAATGCAGGACTACAAAAAAAGAGATAATATCTCCTGAAAGGACTTTTAATGAGAGCACCTCATACTGCCTACATTTGTTTTCTATATATAGATCAAGACTGTGAATGTTCTGCTTTCTTTCCAACCCACACAGTTCCTTTTCATGAGTGGGTCCAAACGGTTCTTTTGCTTCTTGCTTGCGCTGGAGCTTTCTTGTAAGCAACTGACTTGAACTTGACTTTATCTGAGCACAGTCTGATAGGTACAGAACCTCTGCAGTGGTGAGTAGGACAAGGAGGACAAGGAGAGAGAGAGAGGAAGAGAAGGCTAGGATGATGGAAGAGCCTTATCGACAGATGAAGTGCATGACAACAAAAAGGCTGTGTTGTTAAAATGAAACCAGGACTCCCCCACCCAACAAATTGCTGACATTCCGGGAGGAGGTGACACTCACGGCACATCACACGACGTAACCAGAAATCCCAAGGATTCCCTTTGGAGTATTCACAGGATACGAAGGAGGAAGGACTGTTCTCCTGTTGTAGTTGACCATCGTCTTGGGATGTCCTCCTGACATGAATGACGCTATACAAATGTAATTTTGGATTGACTCAATTCTTTACCGGGGATGTAACGGTTCTTTTGTTCCATTTCACCCACAAAATACACAGTCACTCCAATTTACAGTACATCCTGTGAACCGCTTTGAGACGTCTCAACAACATGATGAGGCGCTGTATCAAATACAAGGATTATTATTATTATAACTAGCTGGTATGCTAATTGAGTTATAGTCAAACCTGTTTAAGCAACCATCTCCATGTAGCAACCAAACCCCTGTTAACAACCACCCTGGAATAGCCTGGTCAACTTAGTTCACACATCAACAAACCCTTATCAGAAGCTGCCCTTGCCACTTTGGCCCAGTCGCCCTGAGAGATTGTTGAAGACGGATTTGACTGATTATTAAAGGGATAATCATAACATTCAGTTTTCTCTCCTCTTAGTGTTTTGGGACAGTGCGATCAGTAAGTTGTTACTGAGATCAGTAAGTTACTGAGATAGTTGTTATTGAGATGCATGATTGAGCTATCTGATTGACCTGAACTCACTGTACAGATCAGTAAGTTATTACTGAGGGCAGTAAGTGTTACTGAGATCAGGCAGCAAGAATGCATCTCAAACTCTCTTGTAAACTTAGTTATAAACTACTGCGCGGTGGAACACAAGTACCTTGTTGCATCTTAATGATATTCTGATGTGCTACTGTTTGTAAACTGCTTTAATCAAAACAGATTTAGTTAGATAAACACATCTAAAAGACTACAACTCTTATGCCTGTCGAACTCTTGATAATATCAATTAAACAAACACTCATGTTCTCTTTGCTTTGTAATTGTTTATGTTTAGCCTGAACTTCACTGTGTGATGAGAATGGGTGGGCATTTCTTTGAGCAGAACTTTGAGTCTCTTTCAAAAAATACTTATTAAATATATGTGCCTTTTACAAAACTGTACTTTGAGAAGTCTCAATGTTCTGATGAGGCTCTATATCAAATGCAAGCATTATAATAATCCTTGCATTTGATATAGCGCCTTATCACGTCGTTGAGATGTTTCAAAGCGCTTCACAGGATATACTGTAAAGTGAATTGACTATATTTTGTGGGTAAAATGCGGCAGCCAATTGCGCACAGCAGTATCCCACAAAGAGTAGTGGATGAAGAGACCAAATTCGTTTTTTTGAAAGGATTATGACCCCCAGAAAGCGATCCGCCAATTGACTAACAGTCGGGGTCCTATTACTGCTTAATAAACAGAGGCGTGTGGAGTAAGGAAACTTGATTAAAGTTTATATATATACATTATATTTATTAAATATACAGGTTACTATATACACTGCACTGAGCTGGAGAAGGACAGATTTCAAACATGACTTAATAATAATAATAATCCTTGCATTTGATATAGCACCTTATCACATCGTCGAGACGTCTCAAAGCATCTCACAAGAAAGACTTGGGATAACAGTGCACTCATGCCCTGTAGGCTGGTGCACAGTGAGTTCAGGTCAATCAGGTATCACAAGGACATTTGCACCCCAATCAGAAAAGTACCTCCATCCAAACAGCTCATTGATCAGCAACATTGATAGGTCTAGAAGGCTAATATATTGGCCTTATCTGGTAAAAACAAAGCCTGTTAAATCATCCCCTGCTGCACCTCTTCTCAAACAAAGCTGAACAAACATTCCTCTTCTTTGTGTTTACCTGAACCTGCACTCAGCTGTTTTTGACACAATGCCAGACTCTAATGCCCTGCCTCACAAAAGAAGACAAGTCTGTGGGCTGCAGCATCTGCTAATGCCTTGATGTGGTGGGGCGGTTCTCTTGCCTCGCTTTCTCCGTCCGTCTACCTCCTTTCATTTCCTACTCCCAAGAGCCACAGGTCATAAGTCACAGGCTGGACAGTCCCGTGTCTCTGGCTTGCATGTCACCCACAAAATACAGTAATCAACTTTACAGTATATCCTGTAAAGCGCTGTAAGACGCTATATCAAATGCAAGGATTATTATTATTATCATTATTGTTATTATTATCCTTACATTACATGAGCACACGTAGCTCAAAAAGCTGAAGTACCCACGTTCCCTTCCTTCTGGAAAATACAAGGCAAATTGCATTTTTTCCCTCTCTAGATGCTAATTCTGATTTCAGCTTTGCCAGGAGCGTGACGCACCTGCCTATTAGGAGTTCATGTTTGTCTGTGTAAGTGCTCCTCCAGTAAGGTGATACTACTACTATATTTACATCCCTTCCACATTTAGACAAAGGCTATTTTGGAGCTGCCTGCTATTTGCAGAGCTGCCTACGCCACTTCAGGTCCACGTGCACTGTACACATTACAAACAGGTTATTTTTATTTACTGTCTACACGAGGCAGAGGAGAGGATTGGCTTGAGAGACACGGTGTATTGAAGTGCAGGGTGCTTGGCTGCTGGGCTCAGCATGTTTAGCAGAAGCCAAGCCCTCGCTGACTGTGTTTTCGACCTGTCAGGTCCAAGCAGTTCTTTCTCCTAAACAGACAGCCCTTCCTGCTGCTGCCTTTGCTGTGACTCTGGAGGGCTGACAGTTGCTGCCACATAATCAACGATACAAAAGCAGTTTCCTGGAAAGACTGAACGAGGGTAATCTGCATAAATCCTCTCATTGCCTGATCCTTTCCAGGAGTTATAGGCACAATCCGGTCTCTCACAGGGTGTCACTTTCACTGTTAATGATTCCAATTCTCCTCATTTCACTTCTTCTGATGTTATTTAAGCTGCTCGTTTCCTTTCATCGTCAGGCTGCAAACAAACTGACCACTTTTTCCATTTCATGCCTATCTGCCATGACTTGTTCTTATTTCTGCCATTGTTTGCACAGGGTTTTGTTTGACTGTGCACCTTTCTTATTTTCTCTCCCCTTGTATGAGGTCTCATGTCCTGTTACTGGTAGCATTGGGCCTTCCGCAATGAGAAGAAGGTCTTGAAGAGGCAATAATAATAATAATAATCCTTGCATTTGATATAGCACCTTATCACATGGTCGAGATGTCTCAAAGCGTTTCACAGAATATACTGTAAAGTGAATTGACTGTGTATCTTATGGGTGAAACGTGGCAGTCAATTGCACACAGCAGTGTCCCACAAATAGTGGTGGATTGGTGAGTGACCAAATTATTATTATTATCCCTTTTTTTTGAAGGGATTATTAAACCCGGAAAAGCGATCCGCCAATTGACTAACAACCAGAATTCTACTTACTGCTAAATAAACAGAGGTGTGTGAAGTAAGGAAACTTGCCTAAGGTTTCTCTCTACCCAGGAATCGAAGCAGGGTCCTCTTGCTTGCTAACCACTACACCATGGGACTCCACAGTATGGTGGGATAGGTTGGGGCGGGGGTTACACCATGTCCTCTCACTGACTGGGGGTGTAAATAGTTGTGCTGCTGTTATCATGGCTCAGTATTGTGACTGAGGAAGTTGTCTGGTTTGCCACATGTTCTCAAGCGGAAGTCTATCTAACACCCAGCCCTTTCTTTCTCTTCCTCTCAGGGTCAGTAATGTCTGTAATGATTCTGTAAAGCACTTCAAGACAAACTGCACTGTCAATCCGACTGCCCTGCCCTATCCCCGTTCTATTTCAAAGTATGTCAACATATTTTACATTGTATCTATCATTACTTTGCCACAAAATTTTACCTGCTGAGTCGATTCTGTACATGTGAACACAATTCTAATCCCAAACGTTGTAATG